TAATGCGCATACACTTTCCGAAAAGAGTATTATATAAACACACTATGTTTGCGTATATCTGCGCTTACATTATGATTACACTACTACTACTACTGTACTAATAATAATGTGATTAAAAAATGACTATTATTAGAGTATGACATACACTCAGCTAATATTTATAACAACAACAATAATAATACATAAAAATAGGCATTTAATTCAAATATATGTGTGTTAACAAAACAGCGATGTAAGCTAATTATATGTGATTATAAATAACACGAAAATTAGCTATACTTTAATGTCTATATTGTATATATGTATGTATAGAAACAATAGATGTGGGGGAACGACATCTCAAAAATAGCTACCCATCCATCTATCGTTAGCTATATGTACAGTATGTATGTGTGTGTATGTGCTTTATGATTGAATAGGCATCGCATGACTTAAAACAATGAAATGTCTGTTTGCTTTAAAATATCATATTATATATATTTATATATATATATATGTAAATATTTTTTCTCAAAAAAATAAATTATTTAACACAATAGAGATTGACTTTTCAATTCATGATTACATACTATTATATATGACATTAATTATAACAATTTATAAATATAAAATATTATTCAATTTAATTTTCTGTTTTAATATATATATATATATATATTTATATAGATTCAGTTTTGAAAATATATTATATATTTATATACAGTATAACTATAATATTAAAATCGTAATCAAATATATTTTATTTAAAAACCTATTAGATTATTATTTTAATGTATATAATTTTTATATCAAATTATTACTATTAAAAAAAATCATACTATCATTTAATAATAATTTATATCTACTAATTGTTTTATATACTAATTTTTTTGTTACATTCATTTCCTTATCAACAACAAAAAAAAACAAATTATAGTTTACATTAATGAAGGCCTGCGTTGGGCTAAACACCACTACGGCCTATGGTTTTGGTTGGCACTGATTATACGTATAACTTGTGTGATCACGTGGCTCATTGACCACTATGATGGCCAATTCAATCAGGATAATGATAATGAGGTACGGGTGCTGCTATTAATACTACTACTACTACTATAAATCTAAATCGATTAACTTTATATATATATACATTATATGGCTAAAGGTGCCCCTCGTAATGACTAAACAATATGATACAAACTGATAGATAATGTTTTATGTATCGATTGGCAAATTAAACAAAAAAAATTGACTTTTTTTCGGGGAATGGGTGGGGGTATCAACTAAAATACTGACTACACTGGAGTACAGTACTTGTAGTGTTGGTAGTAATCATGTATACTCTGTGTGTGTGTGTGTCAGCTCATGTAGACTATTAGCTTATGTAGATATATATTGCATAACTCAGCAATAAATTGCCAGAATATTCTTGATTCTTGAAGTATTTTAGTTTGATTTAAACATCCTATTTAAGCGATTTTTTTGTATTTTAGTTTAGTTTTATTTTGCTGACGTATTTTTATGCCTATCTATACACACACAGAGCACAGAGATTCCGGTGCTCTCTCACTACATGTTTTTTTTGGGTTAAATCTTATTTAATGGAGGTATACTGTATATCAATAAATATTATAAATAATATAATAATAAGCTTATTTCATAGGATAATAACATGATTTATATGGACAGCAAGTTTGTTGTAATTTGTTTTATTTTATAAAATAAAATTTAGCTATCGTTTTATAGTTAATAAAATAATGTTCACTGAATATTAGTGAACAATACTAATAAAATTTTTTTTTTTAAAGTTATGCCATAAAAGCATTTTTGTTAACAAACTTTAAAACTATATCTTTTTTAAAAAAAACTGATTGTTATTGATAGGCCTAAAAAATAAAAAAAAATTATTGGCCAATAGGCTTATGTAATATATTTAATATAAATATATAGGTGTATAATATGTAACAATAATCCTAATAATATTAATACTATGGTCTCTCTCTCTCTCTCTCTCTCTCTCTCTCTCTCTCTCTCTCTCTCTCTCTCTCTCTCTCTCTCTCTCTCTACCCTTACTCACATAAAGTCATGTTTAGGCACACTGTATGTCCTTACCATTCCCTACCAAACCGTCCCCTTTCACATTAGTTTCAAGTGTATTATTTACTACACCAACTACTACTCATACTAACTGTCTTATATAATCTGGTAAAACAAAAGTTTGCTGTCTTAAGCACAATAATGTTTTAGTCTGTTTTAGCTATTTTTGTTGGTATATATATATATATATATATTGTTGTTGTTCAGTGTATTTATATATATACAGTATATACAAATACATCATATTATAACTTATATTATACTACAGTATACACTGTATATTACTGTATTGATATAGTAGTGTATTTAAGAGAGAAAGAGAGAGACTCTTTCAATAAATATCTCTTAATATTATCTAAAAGGCAAACACAACATACATACCCATCCTAAGTGTGTGTGTGTGTGTGTGCTATTGAATATATACTACAGTTTTTTATATAGTAGTCTTGTCATTTTTCAACTATTAAAAGAGTCTCTCTCTCTATCTCTCCCTTTCCAATACATCCCGTTCCCCACCATTTATGTGAGTGAAGTCTATTTATTTAAGGATTTTCATTCCTTAAGCAGTCATTTCATTTTAGTTTTATTCAGTTTGATCTTTGAAATTGAAGAGTGAGTGAGTGAGTGAGTGAGTGAGTGAGTGAGTGAGTGAGTGAGTGAGTGAGTGAGTGAGTGAGTGAGAGAGAGAGAGAGAGAGAGAGAGAGAGAGAGAGAGAGAGAGAGAGGAAGCCAGAGATAAGCCAAATCTTTAAAAGTCTTTGTTTTAAATTTTTTTCATTATGTTATTATTATTACTATATTTTTTTAAGGATATAAATTATATCATATAATACATGTAAAGTATTTTTTGAAAAAATACACTGTTTTTAAAACAGAAAATAAATATAATTTTTTTATTTGGTGTCTTATTTTTGTTGTTATTGTTGTTGTAATGTTTAAACATTAGAAACTATTGATTATGTGACATATATTTATATACGTATATTTTATTAGCTCATTTAGCAAAAGTATTTAAAATATTTTTAAAACATATAATACAAGAAAATAATAATAATATAATATAATTTATTATTAAATAGACTCCATGAATGATATATCATATATTTATAAATATATACTTTTTATTACTAAATGATTTTTGATATAAAGAATATTCTGTTAGATTTTATGTACATTTTGTATATAATATATGTTTATAGACACTGGTGTTATGTTTGCACAAAACATAATCATTCATTCAAAGTGAGAGAGAGAGAGAAATAAAATGATAATATGAATGATTTGTGTCAATATTTGTCAATAATATTTCATTCAAACAAATTATAAGCCATATTTCAAACAAAACAAAGCAACAAAAAAACAGAAAATCTCTATTAAATATATATATATATATATTGTTTTGTTTTTACTTATGGCATGTCTCTCATCATCACATATGATAGACATTACATTAGATATTGTATATACAGTATATTTTTTTATATAAGGGATGAGCCGATTGAATGAGTGACTGACTGAGTTAGTAACTCTCATGGGCACCGGGAGATTATGATTATAAACTATTATTACTATACGGGATAAGAAACCAATAGATTTTTCCCATTAATTTTTTTTATTACTTATATATATGATATAACGAATCGTAAGTGAAAACTAAATAATCAGATAATAATAATGAAAAAAAAGTTTTTATATATATATGATATATTGTGGACAAACATAAGAAAACTTTGCTTTTCTTATAATAATCATTTACTTATATATATATATATATATATAGTATATATATATGAAATAAGTAAAAGTTAATATATATTGTATCTTATAAGTTATATACAGTATATATCGGATATATTAGGCTAACTATTATATAATAGCACCGATAAGTCAAGCCTAAGTCAATATATATATATATATAGTATATATATGTTATAACATAGTATATATTGTAGTTTTATATGAAAACCTAACATTTCCTCCAAAACAAAATTGATGCCATATTTTGACGATAGTAAGTGAAAACTGCCGACACTTTTAGCACTGATAACACACCCACACACTAACACTAACAAAAATAAACTTTAACAATAATATAATACTAGTTTATACACTTAACATTAAAATCTTTTATATAAATATAGTTTAAGTTTAAGTCATTATGTGAATGTGAATATCTAAATGTAAAGTTTTAATATAGCTATTAAAAATATTAAGTTTTATATATACATTATGTTTAAGTTTAACTACTTAAACTACATTTAAATATTTGATACTATATATATTTAAGTATTATTTTATTTTTTAGTTAAATTTATATTGTATATTATGGATGGAGATATACGTATCATTATGTAGAAATTATAATTAGTATTAATTTTTGTTGGTTAGTATTTTTGTTTAGAAACAAAATATATATATATATATATATATACATTATATAAAAATGATAATATAATATTTGATTAGAAAAATGAGAGTACAGGGAGATAATATATATATAACAGGAATTGATTGCTATAAGAGAGACTCGACAACTCATCCCTGTGCCTCTAACTATGCCTATTATTATTACTGTGTRTGTATTGTCTGTGTGTGTGTGTGTGTGTAATGATTGATGTGTGCACAATACCAATACATTAAGGATGTAATGTCGACAAACAATATTATATACACTAAATATATATATATTTCTTAATACATAGTGAGAGATACAGCACATGGATGTACATCATTGACGACATCAACAACAACAACAAGAAAACTATAGCACCCGTACTATTCAATTAGCACCCAAACACATTGTACACATGACTCGTATAACACAATAGATTAGATATCAAATAAGTTTTGTCCCATTATTTACTGGAGAAAAAACTTTTTTTTGCTCTTTATATCACTAAAGATATATAGTATAGTATAGTATAAAGATCTTTAAGTTAATAGTCCGACAAACAGCCGGTGCTTTCTCTCTCTCTCTCTCTCTCTCTCTCTCTCTCTCTCTCTCTCTCTTTCTCAGCACTGGTTGACATCAATTTAGTGAGAAAATTAGGAAATTTCTAAAAGCAATATACAGAATATTTTGTAGTATTGTCAGCCATTATGTTTATGGTGTGCTTTATGTTTGTACTTTACTATATATATATATATATATATACTAGTATATATATATATAGAGAGAGAGGGAGAAAAAAGAGAGAGAGAGAAAGAGTATGTATGTTAGATATGCCGGTTGTTTAATAGAAATACCATAAAAAAAATATTTGACAAATTTGTTGTTGTTGTTGAATATCTGTGTGTTTATGTTTGACCATCAATTTGCTCTGTTTAGCCCTACTATTGATGTCAATCACTTTTAGACAAAATGATAATAATGCTGTATGAAACTCACACATATTTTTGTAATATATATTTTTTATATATTGTGAAATAAATGGATAGATATGATAAAATTTAGTTTTATACAACATCAAAAAATATATTACCATTTCATACCAGTGCAATGTATCATATAAAGTGGAGTACTTTAATATGTGTACAGTATGTACTGTATGTATGCACCTAATTGTTACTATTGAATAGTTGCCAATATTATATAACATTGAATACATTTAAATTAATTTGTGTCTCATATTATTATATAACACACACACACACACTACACAACGTTATAACTATTATATACATAATATATTCTATAGAGAATATTCTGTATATAATATGTCTTTTCTCATTAATTGCTTTCAATTACTACTACTTGTGTGACACTTAAAGTATGTGTGTGTGTGTCATTCAGTTTGTATGAATGGACCGAATGTCGGTGGCCGAAAGACTAAGTTGTTGACTTTCGAGTACGACAACCCGAGATCGATACTCGGACGTGACATTACCTAATTTTGTTGGGATTTTTAACGCGTGGACACGGATAATATGTTTACTCTAAACTGTCCGCATATATACAGTAGTGCTGTCCTATCGGGTATTCATTTAATTATTGCACTAATCGGAGATTATGAGTGTTTTATACTGTACAGTATAACATAGTTTAAGGGTTCTCAAAACCCCGTGCATACAATCATTGTTAAAACGGGGGATACAAATCATAGATGTGTTTGTATTTAATCGTTGCTCTCTCTCTTTCTCTCTTTCTCTCTTCTCTCACTCTCATCATCTTATTTGATCTAACCGTCCCCTTCAATGAACACAATACATAGCATAATAAGCAGACAGTATTAAAATCATTGATTCATTCAATTTTTTTTTTGAATTCAATGATTTACTATATATTATAACATTTTATTTTTTTGTTTATTTCTGTATATATTTTATTTTATTATAACATTTAATTTATTTCAATTACAATACATCAGTTATTCACTGTATTTAATCACATATTATATTTAACAGCAAAACTCATTTTGATTTGCATTTGCTTTTAATTTTCAGTACAATTATTTATAACATTTTTGCTTTCAATACATTAATTACCAGTTGTGCTCAAAAGCATACATAGATATAAAATATTATAATATTTAATAATATATATAAATATATATATATTTCACTAACATTTCAGTTATATGATTACATTTGAGGAAATTTAGACATTATTAGTCTAGTATTTTCCAAATATGATTTTAGATATCATAATATTTATATATATATATATATTAATAATAATATTAATCATGAAAATTAGTGTCATTGAAATATATTAAATTTTAACAAAAATGTTTATCTATATAATAATAATATTTAATTATTTGAATAATCATAAAAGGAAAAAATTAATTAAATAATTTAATTAAGTTATGATTATATTAGCAAAATAAATGATTTATTTAGTTTTTTTTAAAAATAAACAATAAAATTATCGAAATATATATTTTATAAAAATACAAGAAATTGATTTTTATTTTGTTTTACAATAATATATAATCCATGATTTTAATAATATATTTTATGTGTAGAAAAATCACATATTATTTAGTAATCAGTTTCTGTATGTTTCGGTGCATTGAATTACAAATGATTTGGAGAATCGGACCGATATCTTAGATAACATATACAGTATATATCTAATTGATTGAACAGTCAAATCATACCATACGGTATATATGATATACAGTACAGTATGTTGAGAGGACAGTCACATATTTACAAACTGTTTGTCAATTTATTTGATTTTTTTTCTGAACTGCATTTTTCTATAAATATATCTTACTGTATAATAGTTGTGTTATCCCTATATATATAATATAACCCATACATAGACACACACACACACACACAGTCATAGATATATACCGTTTTTTAATAAATAGTGTCATATCGTGAAGGCATCCATCCATTCATTCATTGGGAAAAAACCGGGCAAATGAAATATCGGTGCTATCTTATAGTTTAGACCATATGATAGTAGGCAATAACACACACACACACACACACACACACACAGTATGATATGATATACGGTATAATGTAAGGCATATTACCAAAACAAAAACCCTAAGCTTAACCCACCAGCAAAAAAAACGGTACTCTCCAGTGAAGCGCAAAACCTATTGGCCATTGGCTATGAAATGACCGATAGATAAATATTAGACATTAGACATATATATATATATATATATATATATATATATATATATATACAATAACAACAAAAAATTGACACAAATATTAATGTCAGGCCATTGATTAGGATTAGCATTGAAGTGGAGAGAAATATAATATACAATACAATACTGTATTGTCAATACATACATACAATAATAATAATAAACTAATAATACTTTTATCGTTTACTGTTTTTTTTACTGTTTAATTAAACCAAACTTTTTGTTTCTGTATGATATTTGCTATAAATTTATATACAGTATATGATTATTATTAATAATAATGTTTAGTTTAACTTTTAAACTGTGTATACTGTATTGTCTAGTATATACAGCGTATACATATATTAATTATTATAATAAATAATTTATTATTATTATTATTATTGTAGTAATTTCATACAATGTATTTTTATACCGGTATCATGTTTATTAGAGCACCGGTAGGTTAAACATTGCTAATATACACAATAAACATGTGTGTATGAGTGGGTGGATATGTTGGTTGATTATTAATATAACAATAATTTAGTTAATTCATTCAATTGGTTTTATTTGTATTTTTTATTTATTTGTTAATTTACTCGACATATCAAACCTGTCTCAATAGTGTTGTTATTGTTGTTGTCAAATGTTTTTTATTAGTATTACAAGTACTGTATTTTCTAACCCCAGTAACTAACGGTACAACAAACCATCAAATTATATACGATAGTGACAATTAGAGAGCGAAAAGTTTCGGACCCGTACCTGACCCGTACCTGATCTGATACCTAAAATCTCGGACTCGGACCTGACCTAACATAGGGTACAAATTTACCTGACCTGACCTGACCTGACTATGTAGGTCCGAAAATAATTTTATCAAAAAACAATTTTATTCATACTATACCCGCAACAAATATGTCTAAATTAACTTTAATTTCTCGGGATTAACGATAACTGATCGTAGATCTAACTTAGATACTAATAAAGTTAATATGTTATTATTTATTAGATCAAACCATTATCTTTTGTAATATTTTATGTTTAATTTATACAAATATTTCATAAATAATAATTTAATAAATTTTGTGTTTGATTGTCATATTTTGTAATAATTGTCGTTTAAATAATGAATAAAAAATTTTCGGACCTGACCTGACCTGACCAAAAAATTTTGGTGTTCGGACCCGTACCTGACCTGACCTGAGCCCTAACTTTTACCTGACCTGACCTGACCTGAAAAATCAGGTCAGTTTTCAGTCTCTAGTGACAATCAAATAGTCAAGTTTGTTGAACACACTATAGTGTAGTACAATATATATATATATATGATATACAAGTGTCGGTTCGCACCATAAACTTATAGATATACTGTACTTATATATATATATAACAACAACAACTATAACCGTAACGCTATGTTTACCGTATTTTTTGGTAGTTTTTATTGCTGAAAGAGAGAGAGAGAGAGATTTAACAATATATATAACACTTATATTAATCTCTCACTCACTCACAATCATAGTTATGCAATATATATATAAAATAATCATATTATACTCATTTTTACTTATATCAAATATATATATATATATATATCGTTATTAGCTGTATATGCAGTTATTTCTAATGTGATTAAATAGTTTTGTGTATCACTACTACAGTTGTACTCAAAACATAAGCAGCTGTCGCACACATTATTATTAATTTCTTTAATAAAAGATTATTATTATTATTATTATTTTTGTTATTGTTATTGTTGTCAATATTTATTTATATATATACAGTATATATATACATAAAGATCAAGAATATTTGTTTATTAAAAATTTAATTCAAGTATATTTATAATATTTAACTTCTAATAACTATAATATTTAATTTATTTCAATTAATGAAATATAATGAATGTATTTAAGTGTAAAAAAATATGAAATATTATTTATATTGTAGGGTTGGCTAACTTCCGGTAATGACTACGACGACGACGACTCGGATGACCACCCGATTGTCCTTCGTTTCCTGCGCTACATACCGGCCCTGACTGTCATCAAAGTGGTTGTCATTATTATCTATACACAAACACTGTTACAACAGTTACCGATTGTCGAGGACAGTTGGCCATCGGTCTGTCCGCAGGCCTATCAATCTCTACTACGGCTCATACAGTGTTTTGCTTTAGGCATACATTACTTTCATACACTTTATGTGTCGACCGGCGATCATTACGATAGCATTTATTAGGTAGTAGTAGTAGTAGTAATAGTATTAGTTTCTATTAATTCACATATATAATCACTCACCCACTCAAATACATGGACACACACACACACACACATACACACAATAGGTTTAGGCTATTAAATTTAGTGGACAGCTATAATAGACGATACGACATCATATTTGTTGGCAATTATAGCCCATTTGTTATGTATTATGATATACTGTATATATATAAAAAAAAAGTTTTATTTGATTCGTGAAATTATTGTTATTATTATCACAACATTTGTAATGAAATATAATTTTATTTTCATAGCTCTCTCTCTCTCTCTCTCTCTCTCTCTCTCTCTCTCTCGAAATATAAGATAAGAGACAGAGTTAGAGAAAATATAATTACAAATTGAAAGACAATTTTTATTGTCGATGTCCTGTCCTATCATATGTTATATTATATCAATATATACTATATATATATATATATATATATATTGTAGAAATAACTGTCCTAATCGTTGGTTTGACTAATGATTGCCCCGAAAGCATAACATAACATAACATTTGATTGTGATTTTCATGAAATAAAACAAAAAACTTAATATATTTGCCAATAATTTCTCATTTCATTTGTTTCGTTGCATTCATATAATAAAAAAAATAAGTAATAAAATAACATAAGAAATGACAGAAAATATTGGGATATAATTTTTTTGCAACAAATAACTAATATATCATTTACTGTAATATCTTATATACTATATATATATATATATATATATATATTTATACGTAATAATAATAATTCAACAAAAAAATCTACTCTCAAATGTGAGTTTTATATATATATATATATATTGAGATACATTTATATTATTGTATGCTTTTTTTAATCGTGATTTTGTGTGTGTGTATGTGTGTGTGTGTGYACTGTTAGATATCACAGAACCTATTTTAACTTCCCCCCTATTACTCCCTTACCACCCCTACCACCCATTGAAGGGGACAAACAAATGATACTAAAGTTATTAATAATAATTTTTTTAGAGAGAGAGAAAAAAAGAGATTTTCTTACATTTTTATTTGCCGTATAGTTTTTTTTGTTTAATAGTAATGTTAAGAGTTGTTATCATTATTAAAGGTTAGGCACCGGTACTTATTTTTATAGGCGATAGAGAGAGAGAGACAGAGAGAGAGAGATAGAGAGAGATAGAGAGAGAGAGAGATACTCAAAGTAATAAAATATTATCAACAAAAAAACTAAAATTTATTATTTATAACTTTATATCTATTATTATTATAATACTGTCTGTATATATAAACATAACTTTCTATTGCTTTTTTATGGGCGATCCGTCTCTCTCTCTCTCTCTCTCTCTCTCTCTCTCTCTCTCTCTCTCTCTCAAACACATAGGGCTTACCTATGATTTTGTGGTGTCTTTTAATAATAATAATACAATGCACTTGTGGTGATAACTTGTTTTGTTGTTATATTTTAAATCATTGTTTTTTCATTTTTTCTGTATTTAGTATATGAGAGATAGAAATGTATTGAAATTTTGTTTTATGTTATAAAGTCATGCAATAAGGTATTCAGTCAAATCCAAAGGCCCACACATTTATATATTATATATACATCTATACATTCATAATAGCTGTCAACCCCTTATTGGATATCGTATTTTGATTTTTTTGTGCATAATATCCACATAAATACTCTGAATTATAAATCAATGTAAATCTTATAACAATAATATTAATATTATTATTATTAATAGCATTAATAGTCTAATAACGCTAAACAATAATCTTTTATTTATTCAATGAAAACTACAATAAAATAAAATACATAAATCTTTTCAAAACAATTTATTGCTAATGTGTTGTCCAAAAAAATCTATGATAATTATATTATTTTAATCATATATATATATATTCAGTTTTATTATTATTTGCATTTTGATTTTGTTAGAAATTTTTAGTCTATTGATATTTTTCTAATATTGTATAACATATTATATCGTATAGTATAGTAAACGCCAAAAAACCATATATATAACTATATCTGAATCAAATTTCTGCCAATAATTTATCATTTTTTTGTCGCACATATTATGTATATATTATATATATATATTATCTAACATTACACTTGTGTGTGTGTGTGTGTGTGTGTGTGTCTCATGAGATCAATACATATTTTCATTTATCGTATATTATATATATATATAATAACCTTATAATCTATAAGCAAATCACTGTCTCAATACATATATACACACACAATCAATGTATTGTATATTGAGATAAATATTTGTGTCAATTTTTATTTTATATACAGTATATCAATAGTTATATATATTAATAATAACCATATTTATAATGAATTATTGCATAATATTATATAATATATAGAAAATTTATATAAAATTACATACATTATTCATGTTATCTATACTAAGATATTAAATACAATATTTGCAATTATTATTATTATTATTTTATATAATCGTTATCTTTGGAAATTAAAATTACAGAATATTCTTATATATAGTGATTAAAATAATAAATACTTAAAAATATTGGAATATATTTGTATTTTTATACGAAATTTATATATTATTATTAACTATATTGTAACTCACAATGAATACATGTTTTTAATTAATTAATTAATTAATTAATAATAATTATTATTATTATTGGTATATTTTATTAATTTAATATTTCTAATTATTTTTTAAATTTGTAATAATTATTTAATTATATGTAAATACTGTTTACAAAATTGTGATTTTTTACTTACTTTATTACTAATACATTTTAATTGTTAATTAATATTATTATTGTAATTACTATATTATGAGATAATTTATTATTAATCTACTATACAATTAAAAAAAATAATTTGCAATTTAATAAAAATATTTTTAATTTAAAAAAAAATCAATTTATTTACAATTTTATACATTTTTTTGATAATGTTAAATCTATTACAGTATTATATAATATATTAATATTTATAGTATTATATATAATATAATATTTATATACATATTTGATATACAAGTTTATATATTTTTGAAGGGGAAAGTAGAAAAAGGACAGTTAGCTTATGACTAAATAAGTTGACTAATTAGTCGCTTAATAGTCACACATTTAACTCAATAGATTATAATACTGTATTATACAACTAGTCATCTAATTCAATGGGAACTCCATTATTAAAAAAAGTCGACTGTCCGTCTGTATAGTTATTTGTATTTAATAATATAATATAATAACAAAATGGTTTTAAAAGTACCGAAAGACGTACGCCTTGGCCAGCGGCCAATACTGATGCCCGACGTTTTTGACGTGGTTTTTGATCTGGTAAACGGTCGGCCGACAGGTCACGGCGAAATTGACATCAATAACAATTATGGCCAACAAATTGACTACGATATTGTCAATCCCGAACCGACAGTGTACGATGTCTGGCCACAGACTGCACACATTGAACCGTACGGTAAGCAAACGGTTTGGTTTAGGGTTAAACCGGGCCGTACAATGCGGCGCTGTTCGTTCAAATTGCGGGCCAAATTTGGTGACCAACAGTTGGACGGCGGCGAAAATCAGATTCCGGCGGCCGGCAATTACTACGGACAACACCGCGGCGGCGGCCGCCGTCGCCTCCTACGTCAACAAGACATAACTGAGCGGCCGATTGGTTGTGCAATTAATCTGACTCTGGATGGTATGTGCGCTAAACAGCACGCAATACAGGACATGGACTACGAAGAGGTCGTCGATGGAAATATCGATGGTATTAGTGCTGGTGTTGACAACACTACCGTTGTTTCGGGCACTGGTAGTATCACTGTTGACAGTGAAGATATGTATGATGATATCGCTTCTCTAGCTGCTAGTAGTAGAAGCGGTTATCGCCGCCGCCGCCACCACCTCTGGCGTAGATCTAACCCGAGATATTGGTGGCAATTGTTAACGAAAATCGCAAATTAAATGTTTAAAAAAAAAATTTGTTTACATATTTAATTATCGACTAATTAATCTTTTATATTAAATAATTGACTTTATTATTGTTTTTTAAAAATTAATAGTAGTATTAGTTAAACTACTGTAAGAAAAAAAATAGTATTTAAAAAAAAAAGTTTTTCATTAATAAAATGTCAAATTATTTTTTATTAATAAAACTGTAATTGCATTTTCAAAGTTAACCAAAAAAAAATTTGTTTAAATACTTATAATATATTATTATATTTTTATATCACTAAATGTGTCCATAAAATATCTTAATAAAAATTCAGTCAATCAATTGATTCATTGATTTATTGATATATCATTGATTGATAAAAATTATTTTCAACCATCGATAGCCATCGGTTATTACTATAATATTTAGTATACTATTATCTATATTATTGAGAAAATAAGATATTTGTTTTCCTGTAACCGACACAACAATGTGGCCATCAGTAGTGTCATGGATGACAGTCATCATCGATGTGGTATTTATGACCGCCGCTGTCGTCGTCGGCGGCGGGGCTGAGATTACCGACGACTCGGTGCCAGATCTTTGTTCAAATCCGCGCATCTATTCTGCCGATCGGTTCATACCAAACGAAACCTATCGGGTCTACGGCAAGAATCACTATTGGGTGCTTAACAACCTGACGCCGACGTCCAGTAGACCCGACGGTCCGTATAGGATTGCCTATGACTCGCTGCGGCCGCTGACTACCGGCTCAGTAGTGTTTAGCACAAAACAGGGCCAGACATTCAAGTTTGAAAACCAAATGGTAACTTTCGTACAGCCAAACGGATCGGCGACAACAGTGATCGTCGATTGGATACCGAAAGACGGCTTCAGTGCCGGCTATAATGACTTTCAACTCAAACCGTCCGATCAGAGTTTCTATACGTTTTTCCGAAACGATATCGTCTACTACTATAGCTTTCAATGGCAATCGATTGGCGATCCGGGCGGCTATCCGGCTGGCGGACAGTTTGGCGAAAATTTTCCCGAAGATCTGACAGCAGTATTGCCCTATAAAGACCAAGACTTTCGTTTAGGCCACTATGCGATGCTATTGTTTCGCGGCACTCA